CTGATGATGTCATATTCCGGCTCCCGCGGCATCAGTAAACAGCCTGCGAGGGAGCACATCAGAGAGATCAGAGCTCCCTCGCCACCTCGGAATCCAATTCAGCCACACGCCTCCCAGCAGCCCCACTGGACCACCAATGAGAAACCCACGCCAGCTCTCCAGGTAGGGAGGCTGGGTGGGAAATTTTAATTTAATTTAGATTATTAATTACTGTGTGTGTGTGTGTGCATGTGAGTATATGTATCTGTCAGTGTGTGTGTATGTGAGTTTGTGTGTGTGAGTGCGTATGTCTGTCAGTGTGTGTGTGAGTGAGTGTGTCTGTCAGTATGTGCGTGTGAGTGAGTGTGTCTGTCAGTATGTGCGGGTGTGTCTGTCAGTGTCTGTGAGTTTGTGTGTGTGTGTCAGTGTGTGTTTGTCAATGAGTCTGTCAGTGTGCGTGTGAGTGTCTGTCAATGAATGAGTGTGTCAGATAAGTGAGTCTGGCTGTCAGAGATGTCTGTGTGTTTGTCATTGAGTGTGTGTGACTGTCAGTGTTTATACACCCCTGACTGTAGCGTGGCCAAGCGGAGTGTACCGTGGTACAGAAACTTCTGTTTCCTGTACGTGGCAGGACTGACAGGAAAAGCTCACTGTACCAGGATTCGCTCTGCTCAGCCATGCTACAAGAAAGGTAGGAGGCACACCAGGAAGGGGAGGGGACCACTATGGGGGTGGGTGGCGCACCAAGGGACAGGGAGAGGAGGGGAGAGATACCCTAAGGTACATTAAAAGGAGGGAGGGAGAGGAACACTAAGCGACAGAGAACAGAGGAGGGAGGGGAGAGGAACACTAAGGGACAGGGAAAGGAGAGGGGAAGGGAAAGGAACACTGAGGAACAGGTAAAGGAGGAGACAGGGGAGAGGAACAGTAAGGGTCAGAGAAGGGAGGGGACCATTAAGGGACGGGGAGAGGGGCTGGATGTGAAAGAAACACACAGCGGGGCTTGAGAAGGAAAGAGACCTACACAAAGGAGCTGGGAAGAATAAAAGACACAAAGGGGCTGGGAGAAAAGGAGTCACACAAAGGGGCTGGGAGGAGTAAGACACAAAATGTGGGAGGATGTAAGAGTCATACAAAGAGGAGAGATAGGAGACACACAAAGGCAAAAATAGGAGATAAAATACACTAAAGGGAGTCAGATATTTAAAAGACGGGATAAGAAACACAAAAGGGAGGTTAAGAGGCACATGGGTGAAGATGTTTTTGGGGTGGCGGAAAAATGCATCTTCGCCTATGTACCCAAAATTCTTTGCACCGGCCCTGATTACAAGAATGGAATTAAAGAACACTTTTCATTCAGTCCATTCACTCCCAGGACATACTTGAAGACAAGAGAAATCTCAATGTATCTTTCCTGGTAAAATATTTTATAAATAAAATAAAATAAATAACTCAAGAATCCAAAATGTCTCTCGCTGTAAGAGAAGTTTTGCTCTGTCCCCTCCTCAACATGACATGGGGACATGATCGATTGCTATGAATCTTAATGTTGAAAGTTGATGCTGACTCTCCAGGAAATGTTGGGTCACAGGTTTGTCCGACTTGCCATCACGATAGGCAAGCCGGATACTTGATCTGTGTCCCTGAATTCTCTCACAGAGTGCAGTCTCTGTTTTCCCAACATAATTTAGACCACATGGGCAACTGCATTTATAAATCACATGATCTGTTCGACAGTGAATCCTATATTTAATTTTATAGGTTTTATTCATATTGGGATGGCAGAAGGTTTTTGACGGAATAATATGGCCACAAGTCACACATCCCAGACATCGAACACATCCCGCGTTCTGTATCTCTTGGGCTCTTGGTAAATAACAGTGTGTCGGGTCAGTTTTAACCAGTAGGTCCCTCAAATTTTTATTCCGTTTATAACAGATTATTGGTGCTTGTTGGTTCTCCTCTGAGTGTGTGATATCATTTTCAAGATGTTCCAATTCCGGTTAATCGATCTTTTAAGAGCTGGACTTGCTGTATGAAACTTCATCGGAAAAGGTAACCTAGTTGGAGTATGATTTAATTTCGTTCTATCCTTAACTTCTCCATGTTTTCTCTTGGCTTCATCCAGAGCTCAGTTAAGGAATTTCTTCTTATAGCCCCGTGCGATAAATCTCTCATACATCATTTGCAGTTGTTCAGTGCATTGGGAGGTGACAGAAATATTTCTCAAACCTTGTGAATTAATTGTGAGAGCGGCAATGAGTCTTTAAGATGTTTGGGATGAGCGCTTTCATAGTGCAGAATAGTGTTTCTGTCAGTTGGTTTTGTATATAACTTATACTTATACTAAGTCACTTCTCCTTTACTGTTAATTCAACATCAAGAAACTGTACACATTGAGTGTCAATCTTAGATGTGACTTTAACCGGTGTTGGTAACTTATTGATATGCTCTACAAACTCATAGGCCTCTGTCTCTGTACCATTCCATAGGATAAAAATATAATCTATAAAGCGATAGTATTTAACTATCTGATCTTTAAATTGTTGCAAGATGTATTGTTTTTCTAATGAATACATGTATGTATTTGCATACATTGGGGCCATGGCCGCCCCCATTGATGTGCCTGAGATCTGAAGATACCAATCAGTCTGGAAACGGAAATAGTTACATTGTAGAGCCAACTGTAGTAATACTAGAACTAACTCAATCATAGGTCCCTGTTAGACTGAGGAATTAGCCAAAAGGCTCCTCATGGCCTCTATTCCCTCATAGTGGGGTATAATGGTGTAAAGATGGGATCTTGTTCCAAAAGTATGTACGAGTATCCCGGAGTTGTCTTAATATTTTGTCTGCATAATCCTTGTAGTTCAAAGTTACTATCTCCCCGCCCTTGTCAGCTGGTTGTATGACAATTGTTGGATCATTAGAGAGGGCTTTAATTAATTCACGGTCTGCTTTAGACATATTTGAATGTCTTGGTTTGTGATCCTGGAGGATTTCCTCTGTCTCCTGTTTTACCGTGGAGAGAAAAGTTTTAATAGTGCTTTGGTTAGCAACCGGATCTAATTGGCTTGGAGGTTTAAATGGACAATGCAGTCGACTAGTTTCAACATTCTGAGTGCGATTCTTATTAAAAAAATCTTTGAGTCTTAGAGTTCTTCTAAATTTGAAGAGTTCAATGTTCAAGTTAAATCGGTTAGGCGGAGTTGTAGGTATAAAAGGACAGGCCTTTATTAAGAATGTTCACCTCCTTAGTCATTAGTTCTGGATCAGACAAATTAAACACAGAAATCACCTCCGATGCGGAGGTTTGCCTTTGGGACCAATGTTGGGTTCCCTTCTGTCCACGTCTAGTGGGTGTTCTTTGTGGTTTTTTTGTGAGCTTGCTGCGTGTTACTGTTCCTGGAGGTGATTTGTCCATGGTTTCCGTCTTGTCTAAAAAATGGACTGATCTTGATGTCTGTGGCCCCTCCCCTTCAGAGGCTAATTCTCCTGATGTCACGTCAATAGTTGAAATGTTGGGCTTATTGATTTTCTTTCTAAATCTCCTAGGTCGTTTTTTTCACCTGCTAACCATCTATACACAAAATGCTCCTGATAGTCTTGCTGAACCCGTTCCATTTAGTACAGCCAATAGTTGGTATGTTATGGACTCTAAAGTTCCTTGGTATTTGTCTTGCCCTATGATAATCTGATAAAAACAGCCCATGGAGGTCCAGGTCCACCTCCTTCTTCTTAAGCTTCAATATTTTAAAATAAATATCTTGAATAGTGGTGGTTGCAGGCAATTGTAAACTCTAAGTTTGCTACAGGATATCTTCTGCCTGTTCATTAATGAATTGTAGAGTCTCTGCTTGAGGTGCACTTGCCCCTGCTTGTTGCAGAAAATCCTCCATTATGTTAATAGGAACACTTGAACTCCTTAAACAAAAAAATATATCTGAGTATATCCATGTATATGTAAGTTAAAAGTCTGTCTTTATTGATATGCACTAAAAAAATAGGTAAAAACGAAATGGTTAGCGAGGATGGCCACCTTTTGTTAATGATGTCGCAGGCAGCGGAGTTGTCAGAGCAGCATTTAACTGCCTTGCCAGTCCAAAGTGACCCCATGTGAGGGTGGCTTCCATGATGGGGTAGATCTCTGACAAGTAGAAATCTCTCTAAAGGCCGGCAAGGCATCCGTCACAGTATGCCAGGCGTCCCTACCCAGTGGTTGCCTGGTGACAGGGGGACCCCGAGTGTAGCAAAAAGGAGGCTGTGATGGTGTGAACATTGTTAGGTGTTTGTGAACCTGCTAAATCAACAAAAAATTCATCCAGATAGACTGATGGACACCTGAATATTTTGAGGAGTGGCCAGCAGAGGGTTTGTGCAAAGATGTTGTATATTTAGGGCTGCTCTTAGAGCCAAATGTAGGCCAGGTGCCATAGTGAAGGGTGAATAGGTAGTAGATTAAAGACTTGGCTAAGTCTGTCTTGCTCATCCAAGCCTCACTCCTTGCTGAAGTGATAGCTTGCATGGCATCGTCGATTTGCGCAGTGCAGTGAAAACTCCTTAGCGGGAATGAGGGAGTTGATGCTGGGAATGAATGTAGACTGCGGTGCGGAAGAGGTCTATGATCATTATAGGGTATTGTGAATGGCTACCTCGATGGGATTGGTACGCCAGGATGAGAAGTGTGAAGACCGGAAAGAGGCGATTGCTGTGGACAGAAGGTGGTCCACCGTAAGAGGCTCAATGGATGCAAATAATAGGTTAGGGCATACGAGTGTACCTGTGTGGATGGCGATAAGGCCCGTGTGAAACCCCTGTGAGAAACCCGGCCCCAGAATCTACCAGATGCCTAGCTGGGTGTAAATGCAGATAGTATGCCAGGATATAAATGTTAACCTTAGTTAGGCGTATCTTAGGTGACAGACGGTCTGTATATGTGGACTAGGTGTGGGCTCTGGAGCAGATGTGCGATACCCTGCATGTAGTGAAATAGCATACCCCAGCATTAAATTGATAGTGCACCCGAGCCTTCCCCAGAAATGAAATGGTCAGCCCAGCTTGTCCCTCTACCCGCCTCCCTGTCTAGTGCGTGGGGTGAAGGAGTGGTGAGAAGTGGAAGTGGCTGTCTCTATGCGAGAGGCAATGACAAACAGAGGAATGGAAAGCTTAGTTAAGCCGTGGGTCTCACTCTTTAGGACTACTGAAATGCCACCATGAATATAACCTTTGTACTGTAGGGTGTCTTGGGAAGTTAAGTAGTGATGTTAGTTTAACATCCTTTCCATCTAGAATTCCCTTCTCTATGGAAATTGGAACATAGTGGGCCGGTGAGACGTATGGAGTAGTGATAGTGAGTGGTGGGGGACGGGTAGGGAAATGAGCCAGACTGTATGACCGAGATCCCCAGGGGAGGGGCCTGCCAGGGCTTAATGAGACACCTCGTGTGGCTATAGCGGATTCCACTTACCAGCCTGTTGATCGTTTGGAGGCTGGCTGGGACAGCGACGGAAATGCAGGGAACCAGGTAGTCTTTTTGGTGGTTGATGCCGTGTAACTTGGCAAAACTGCGGTTATGACACAGGTCTGAGTGAAGAAATGTAGAAACAATAGACAAGAAATGTACCGTTAAATAAGTGTAGCGGTACTTACCTTATCCGGGGGCCGGCCGAGGTCCTCTATTCCAGCCGCGCGCGGCTCGCTCAGAGCTCAGATGAAGGCGGCACTGACCGCGAGATGTGGCCACGTTTCCCGCCTAGCTCTAAGAGCGCTCCGCGCTTCTCGGGCACACTCTTAAAGGGACAATGGGAGCCGAAATGTAAAACGGTCTCCCATTGGCCCCTGTCATCCCACATTCCCCATACACCCACATTTTGGGGGCGTGGATATGACAGGGGCCAATCAAATTAAATGCTAGGGTATTTATACTTACCTCTCCCTTAACTCCCTGCCCTATCGTGGTTTCTGTTTCAGTTCCCTTTAGCGCTTGTTTTGTTCAGTTGTGATTTTTTGTGCTTGACCTTGGCTTTGTATCTGACTCCGTTTTTCTCTTTATCCCTGTTTTGTCTTGTTTGCCGGCTTAGTGATTACTGTGTACCAGACTTTGGCTAGTTCTTGTTTTCGCTGTCTCTTTGTACCCTTGACCTTGGCTCGTTCCTGACTCTGTCTTTTTCTGCTCTACGGCGAGTCCTGCCATTCTAAGGTCCGGTAAGATGTATTTGCTCTATATTGTCAATTTTTGGACTAGATCTTGCGAGTTGGGGTAAACTACCGTGAACTTACGATAGGGCCATGGACCCTGCAAATTTAGGTCAGCAAATGGCTTCTCATGAGGCTAGATTTGTAGAGCAGGATCACCGTATGGATCAGATAGCTCAGGCCATCCAGACACTCTTATCTAGAACTACTCCGGTAACCATACCAGCTCCTCCTGCACCCCTTGTTCCAGATGTATCTACCATGCCTAATGCTTCTGCACATTTAACCCCTCCACCTAGGTATTGAGGGGATGCTAAGACATGCAGGGGATTCATTAATCAAGTGGAATTCCACTTTGAGATGTATCCATGTTCCTTTCCCACTGATAGGTCTAAAGTTGGGTTCCTTATGCACCAACTTACTGATAAAGCACTTGAGTGGGCAAATCCTATTTGGGAGGCTAATGGACCTATGGTGCATGATTTCGATAGCTTCCTTACGGCTTTTCGTAGAACCTTTGACACTACTAAAAGGTCGAAGAATGCCGCCAGGGCATTAATGAGAATTAAACAGGGATCTAGGTCTGTTGCTGATTATGCTATTCAGTTTTGTACCCTTGCTTCACAGGTAGATTGGACCAACAATGGGCTAACTACTGCATTTATGGAAGGTCTATCTGACACTATATTGGATGAGGTAGCGGCTAGGGATCTTCCTATCCCATTAGAGGACCTTATCGACTATCTCATTGATATAGACAATAGGTGTTGTGGTTTATTTGTATCTTCCTCTTGTTTCCCCCCCCTGCACTGCATATCCTGTTAACACCTTGTTGGGAAGTGTTTGTTTAATCAAGTAACACCTTTTGACCAGCTAATGCCAAATGTGCTTTAAGTTCTTTGAATATGCAATTGACAGGACATGACTGTATTATGTGAAGACAACCCCTTTTTGGATGTGTATAGAATTTTGTTACAAGATCTGTGTTTACCCCATTAAAATTAGGTGTAGTATTCTGCCATACACTTGTGTGAATGAGTACTGCCCTCCAAGCTTGTATTTCTGCTGTGTCCATTCCTTGTCTTCATACCTGAGAGAAAACATTGCTGTCTGCTGAATTTAAACCACAACAATAGGATTCATGACAGACTCTATACTAAGAATAGGAATAGACATTTTGTTACATTAAATACTCCTAGAGTTGCTAATCCTGAGAGTTTCAAGGTATCAGAGGAGGAACCCATGCAATTAGGGGTTGCCAAACTCTCTGATGCTGAAAAATTGTATAGGAGAAAGGAGGGACTTTGCCTGTACTGTGGTAGGAAGGGCCATATGCTACGAGAATGTCCCGTTCTTCCGGAAAACTATCGCACCTAAGGCCATATAGGGGACTGGCCTTGGGTGTGATATCTAAGTCCCCAAAATTGCTTCTTAACCAATTACTTCTCCCTGTTTCTCTGCATCTGGAAAAGAATTGCATAGCAGGGAACATACTAGCCCTGGTTGATTCTGGGGCAGCTGAGAATTTCATAGATTCTGGTTTTGTTAGGAAACACAACATACCCATTAGAGAGAAGAAGACACCCTTGGCCATTGAGGCAATAGATGGTAGACCATTATGCTCCCCAGTTATTACACATGAAAGTGAACCGTTGCATATGTATACAGGGATGTTACACTCAGAAACCATTCAGTTTCAGGTCATCACCTCTCCTTCCTCTCACATCGTGTTAGGGTACCCATGCTTACGTTCTCACAATCCCATTTTTGACTGGGAGTCAGGACAAATAGTATCTTGGAGTGAAACCTGCCAAGAGTCTTGTATCGTTAAAATCACTCCTTTAAATTCTATTAATGTTCCTACTACTCCTCCTTTGTCTACTGTTATACCTCCTCAGTACATGTCTCTTAAGTCTGTCTTCGATAAAAAGGAGGCTGAAAAATTACCGCCTCATAGACCCTACGATTGTGCTATTGATTTATTGCCTGGCACTATACCTCCCAAAGGCAGGGTGTATCCTTTGTCTCCTCAAGAAAACCGTGTCATGGAGGAATATATTAAAGAATCTCTACAAAAGGGGTTTATAAGGAGATCCTCTTCTCCGGCAGGGGCTGGGTTCTTCTTTGTGTCGAAGAAGGAGGGCGATTTAAGACCTTGTATCGATTATAGGGGTCTAAATAAAATCACCATATAAAATGCTTACCCAATACCTTTAATCACGGAATTATTTGACAGGCTCAAACATGCTACTCAAAATAGGATCAGCGCTAATAATGCCACAGAAAATAGTTAGTAAAATAATAGAAAGGCAGCACACCTATAAAGGGGGTACCCTCCTATCCCCTATAACTTGGTAAGAAACGGAAAGAACAAAGGAAATAGGGCGCGCCTTTAATAAAAATACATAAGTATATGACTGAAAGAATATAAACTAAAATAAAATAAAAAATAATAATAAATAAATAAAAATAAAAATTTAGATAAAAATGTCCAAGGTAATAGTCCACAAATAAATGAAGAATGTTCTTTGTAGCGTATTGTTGTCTCTTCCCAGGTGATGACTTGTATTTTCAATGAGCCATATGTGGAGAAAAATAAAAGGACAACCAATGGTACAGTATGTAGATATTGTGGAATATATGTGCAATAAATTAGAATTACTCACAATTTCCAGAGCTAGAATCCAGCTCTGGTATGAAGTGCGTGAAGTGGAATGATCCCCACTCAAGGATATATGGAGCAGTGACTTGCAGAATAAGTGGTCCACTGAAGATTCCGACCGAAAATTAAAACAAATAAAAATATATAGTGCTCACTGTATGATATAGGTATATTAGAGGACACTGGGAGGGAGAGACGGAGCAGGAGGGGACCCCCATAGTACCATATGTCCTGGAACTCCGGGACCGCATGGAGAAATTATCCCTGATGGTAAGGGACAATCTCCAGGTGGCCCAGGGGAGACAGAAGAGGTGGTACAATCGGGGTCTTCCAGGTTGGGCAGAAAGTTTTGGTGCTCAAGCCTGTGAAGACAAACAAGATTCAAGCATCTTGGCAGGGCCCGTATAAGGTGTTAGCTCAGGCGTGTGATACTACCTATGTTATAGCCAGCTGTGCAGATGAGAGGATTCAGCGATCCTTTCATGTGAACATGCTGAAGGAGTATCAAGAGAGACCAGAGGATGTCGCTGCAGTATGTGCCCCTGCTGCAGACGACCCAGAGAATTTACCCCTGCCTGATTTATTAGCGAGGTACCCCCAGACTGACCTCACTAGTCTTGTACAGCTAGGGGACCGGTTAAGCCCCACAGAGAAGGTACAGGCAAAGCAGCTTCTGTGGGAGAAGCAGGCAATGTTCTCCCAAGAGCCCAGCTACACTACCCTAGCTGTACATAAGGTAGAGACCCCTGGACAGAATCCCCTGTGACAGCCCCCCATCTGTATCCCTGAAGCAGTCGGAGAGGGAATGCAGAAGGAGATACAGGAGATGACTCGACTGGGAGTCATCGAACACTCCGATAGCCCTTGGGCTTCACCTGTAGTCCTGGTATCTAAGAAAGATGGGACCACCCGGTTCTGTGTGGACTACAGACGGCTCAACGAAGGACCACCACTGACGCCTACCATGTGCCCCGGGTAGACGAGTTACTAGACCGTATACGCTATCTGACCACCATAGACCTCTGTAAGGGCTATTGGCAGATTCCCCTGGCCGAGGATGCTATCCCCAAGTTAGCATTTGTCACCCCATTTGGCCTGTACCAGTTTAAGGTCATGCCATTCGGGATGAAGAATGCTCCGGCTACCTTCCAGCGTATGGTGGATAGACTCCTTGATGGCTTCCAGGAATTTGCTTGTGCATACCTGGACGACATTGCGGTCTACAGTGAGTCCTGGGAGGAGCACCTAGTTCATGTACGGGTGGTTCTGGACAAGATTCGGGCCACTGGCCTGACCTTGAAACCAGACAAGTGCCATTTAGGTATGGCTGAAGTACAGTACTTGGGACACAGAGTGGGGTGTGGGAACCAGAGACCGGAGCCAGCCAAG